TTCCTGTTAGAATTGAAAATTAGTAGGCTTTTCTCTCCACTCCAAAGCTTGAAGAAAGCTTTGCACTGTGGTTAAAATGGGGAGGTAGGATGGGTTGTTGAGCAAAGCAGTGGGAGTAGAATGGGAGAAAGAAAATAAAAACAAATGATATGGGAAGTCATGCAAAATATGTTTTTCATTAAGATAATTCTATCCTTTCTGCCCCAGCAGCAGAGCAGTGGACTGCCTGTGCAAAGGTTAGTCAGCCAGGAGTCCGATGGTGTTGAAGGGTATCCAGGCTAGGGCCTGAATCTAGAACCCTGATCTCATTAGGGTACTGTTCCAGCCCTCTAAGCTAATTAGCTGCAGATGAAGCGTATTAACTGGGGACTGCATATTCAGGGTGACAAAAAGAGCAAGGAGTTATTACTGGGAGATGGTTTGTTTGTTTTGCTAATGACCAGAAGCCCGGTATTTAGCCCCAAGTGTCACAGCTTAAAACTTATCCTCCAGTCTTGCTGGCGCCTCTCCTTTGTCACTACTTCTCTCTGGCCACTTAGACTTACATATAGGTCTGTGGGGAAATGAAAAGGAGCCAGGGAATGGATGAGGGAAGAAACTATTAGATTCATTCATTCACTCAAAAAGAATTTATGGACCACCTACCCAGTAACGGTAGCTCTGCTCAGTTGCTAGAGATAAACAAGGCAGAGCCACGGACCTCAAGAAACTCGGAGATCATTAATAGGACAGAAATGAATGGGTTATGGTCTTGCAACCTCTCACCGAAAAGTCAATGAGGGAATATTGACTAATTTCATTATTAATGTATTATGTGATTAATCAGAAAGCACTCATTAGAATACTTCTTGAAATGGGACTCAGTTCAGCTTTCAGTTGAAAGAGCCCCATCAATTGTCAGTTTGAGTTGGGGGAGAGTGGCTTCTTATTTTGCATTTACTTTGTTCTATTTCTGTCAAAAATGAAGTTATGCTAAACTGAGTGTCTGATCATAGGAGTCACAAAAGAACACTTCAATCTAGCGTTCTGATCAGTTTCTACCATGTCATTAGGCAAAAACTCTTATATTTATACCTGCGCTGTCTGAAATATACTGTTGACATATGAATTTAGTTTTTCTCTGACCTGTGTAGGACTTAGCTTTTTAAAAATGGTTCACTTAATATACTTTAGAACTTACTACATCTCTCCAAGTAAAATTTTGGCCTATGTATTTTTAGTTGACAGCCACTTGACCAGTATTTAAGGGAAGAAAGAACTTAGTTTCAGGTCAGAACAAAAATAAGTAAATAAATAAAAAAGAACTGGAAGACATTGATTAAGGGTGGTGTTAAACCAATTAGCAGTTTAAAAAAAATGAAAGAGAGAAAAACAAAAAAAGATAATCTCTGCCTAGACCTGGCCTGGAAAAAGGAATCAGCTTATTTCTAGCCACATTTGGAAAACAGATTGTAGAACTGTTCTATGTGAACACTGGTAATGCAAACCCTCACACATCAGCTATCAAAATAATAAAATGAAGTAAAGTGGCATTGGGCATCAAACAACAATGGATAATGCTTCACAGTCTTTGATTTTCAGGAAAATAAATAGAGATGTTTGCTAAATGAGAATTTAAAAAAGGAGATGTCATCAGGGAACAAATAATAGTATCTTCTCATCAGGTTCAAAATATTTTCTCTGTGACCAGATTCATAAAAGTTATGAAAAGATGACACAACTTAATTTTTTACCAAAGGTTAGGATGGGTCACTGCAACTCTGTTCCAAGCTGTAGTTTAGAAATGTAATTGGTTTTAATTAATCATGAAGTAATGCCAGAAAAAAATGTTCACAGTATTACTGTGGGTCTTGGCTGCTTGAAAATCTAACAGCTTCCAGCCCACCTCATTTTTTCCTTTTTTTTTTTTTTTTAATATAAAGCCAAGAAGAATGGGGGAAGGTGAAGAGATGTTTTTCTTTTTGATCTAGCAACTTCTGCATAGAACTTTTAATTATACAGAAGAGAGAATTCAGCAAGATAGGCACTGACAGAATTATATTTTAACTTATGAAGAAAAAAAGACAAGATTGTATTTTAACTGAGTCTAACATTTGGGACACATTTAAGCCAAATGTTTATAAGTGAATGAAAAGTGGATTAAAATAAGAAAGACCTGCAGCTTCTGTGCGAAGGTAGGAAAAAGGTAGATGAATATTTAGAAAACCAGAGACCAGTGCCTGATCTGTCCTGCACAAACTGCCTGATCTTGGGCAAATTTTCACCGTTAGCATTATTTTTTTGTTGATGATTGATTTGGCAAACAGCATGGAAAATCGGCTACCATTGAAGAGATTGTCTTTGTTTTTTCATACAGTGAAATCGAATATTAGAAATTGGCTCTGATCACTTAATATTTCAGAATCTGTGCCTTCTTCACACCTATTTTTTTTATATAAATTTAGTTTGTCTTTTCTACCAGACCTTAAGCTCTCCCCAGGTCAGAAATGGTGTTTTTGCCTTTTTGAGCTCAGCATCCCATAGATGTTCACCAAGGTAACTCTTCATTAGGAGTTAAGACTCTTTTTCATTTAAAATCATTTCCTGGGGCACCTGGGTGGCACAGTCGGTTAAGCGTCTGACTCTTGGTTTCAGCTGGGGTCGTGATCTCAGGGTCATTAGGTCAAGCCCTGCATTGGACTCTTTGCTCAGTGCAGAATCAGCTTCAGATTTTCTCCCTCTCCCTCTGCCCCTCCCATTTGTGCTCTCTCTCTCTCTCTACAATAAATAAAGGAACCTTTGAAAAATAAAAAAATAAATAAAATAATTTCCTGGATGTAAAAAAGGCCTAGTGGAAAGAGGAAGCTCTCTTATAGTTAGGAAAAATGGTTTAGTCCTAACCTACCCAACTAACCATGATCCTGTGAGAAAGCCTTTAACCTTTCTGTGTTTCTGCTTTCTTATCTACTACATAGATGTAATGATCTTTTACAAGTACATTATAGTGATTAATAGATGAGAGTTCTTTGACAAGTTGAAAGTACTGTTTAATTTTTTTGTTATCATTAATAACACAAGACTTGTGAAAATACAGGGAACAGATTTTGCTCTCCTGGCTAGATGCACAAAAGAAGTAGCTCATGTAAATGTAGTCACAAAGCATTCTTTGAGCACTCGTAATGGTGTCCCCTGTCTTCTGAAATCCTGAGTGGGTCTTGGTGACATCCCCTGTGGAGGCAGAATTTCCCCAGTTACAGTCCAGATTTGGACTGGCCCAGATCATCTGCAGTTTCCTCACTCTGCTGCTAAGTAGTTTTATCATATTAGAAAGGTTGGCATTTTGAACTAAACTCCTTTGGTTACTGTAATGGTCTTGCCACTTCATGGAATTCATTGGCCTCCTAGAGCCCTTAATTTGCCATGCCAGAAGCTCTTAGTAAAAGAAAGAAGCTGATCAGCCTGCTTTCCCTCAAGTCTTTTAAACTAGTAAAATACATGCTTCAGAATGGGACTAGAAGAAACAGCCAACTCGGGTTCTGGGCAAAAGAGCACTCACTGTGTTCAGTGCATTTAATTCAGGTGTCCTGCTCTAAGTGTCTGGTTCATGTATCCTCATGGATTGGCCCTAAGGACAAGGTCATTCAAACACAGAATATACATGGTCAATTCCTGGCACAGAGTAACTACTTAATACTTTTTAAAATGAATTAACAAAGGTTTCATAGAATGGCATCTACTGAGTACCTACTTTATCTATAACTGAGGGAGACACCTAAGAAATCTATGACATGGTTCTTTACCAAATATTGCAATTTACTTCAGAAGACAGAACATACATATATGAGATATTTGAGCATTAAAGTGGGGAATTTTTAAGTGATAGAATGAATGATATAAAGCATACGACTATAAAAATTCAAAGAGGGGCGCCTGGGTGGCTCAGTCGTTGGGCATCTGCCTTCGGCTCAGGTCGTGGTCCTGGGGTCCTGGAATTGGGCCCTGCATCAGGCTCCCTGCTCTGTGGGAAGACTGCTTCTCCCTCTCCTGCTCCCCCTGCGTGTGTTCCCTCTCTAGCTGTGTCTCTTTCTGTCAAATAAATAAAATCTTAAAAAAAAAAAAAAATCAAAGAAATGGGGTGGGCAATAAAGATGTCTCTTAGGTACTGAAACTTGAAGTAGATTTTGAAAGATGGTTGGAAATGAGAAGATGAAAGGGTTTGGCATTTCAAAGTAGTAACAACATGAGACAATGTCTGGAAATGGAAATGGGTGTGTTTGCTTTACTCTTTATTTTGGGTAATGGGGGATGGGCACAGGAAGTAGGTATGTAAGAAAAGATAGGATTATAATATACAATATACATTACAATATAACCCACAGAAATACGAATTAATATGTACTAGGATGTATGTGTAAAGATGTTTATTATTTAAAAGAGTAAAAATCTTGAAGTAATTTAAGTTCCGTCAGTAGAGGAAGGGTTAAATAATTTATGGTACCTTCACATCATGACATACCAGGAAGTAGCTGAAAAGAATAAAGTAGATCTTTGTGTGCTGACATGGAAAGACCACCATGGAAAGACATAATAGTGTGTTATCAGCGAAAATGCATTCATGTAATATTCGTCAACTTTGAAAATTAATTTAAAAAAATCAAAGTGGTATTTCAGGAAGATTAATGTGGTGACATTGTGTCAAATTAAAAGGGAGTGTTTGAAAGTGAAGAGGGATATTGGGAGATGTTTGTGTGAGTACAGATGCAGAAGGCCAAGGATAGGGACCTGAATGGTAACGAGAAAGAGAGAGAACTCAGAGACATTCTGAAGAATGATTTTAAAGGACTTCTTGACAGACTCCTAATATAGGGGATGAAGGAGAAAGAAGAAAAAGTAGATTTCCAGGTATCAGCTTGGGAAATAGACTGAAGAAATATTTTTCCTAACTAGAATAGACCCATTTTAATCAAACCTTCTTTAAAGAAATTCTTTATATGTATTTTGCTTGTTTGTTCATTTCTCAGGATGGAAGAAACAGTAAGAAATCTACTGCAGAGTCAAGGGCCTCCAGAGCAGAAAAAAGAAGAAACTGTTAATATAATGGTCTATCAGGTACGCCGTGTTTCTTACTCTTGGCTAGGCACCAGTTGGCTTGTCTTGGTTGTATTTCTTTAGCTCTGTCCTCCCTAACGCAGAGATAAATAGACAAGTATGGTCCAGACCCCGGTGCTGGGAGCCATGCAGTCACCTCTGCTTAAGGAATCATGTACATGATTTTATCTCCTTCATTTCAGATCTTCAAATTGTAGATTTGGTCGTAGGAAGGTACAAAAAGTAAGTTTATAATGAAACAGAGAGACCTATAAAAGTATTGTAGTACTCTGTGCTCAGGGCAATAAGACAGGTATCTATAATGTTCTCTGGGAACACAGAGGTGAGGGACTCATTCCATCTAGGGAGTTGAGTGTCATACCTCTAAGAAGTATGACACTTCGTATATTTCAGAGGTATGACACTTGGGGGCCTGAGGGATAGGGAACAGCAGGAAGGTTGTTGCAAGAAGAGAGGTGCCTAGAGGAAGATACAGTGGTTGAATTTGCATGGCAGACCCATGGAGATTAAGAAGCCCAAGGTAAGTAAATAATGGCCTGGTGAGATAAAAATCTCAATGGTGAGACTGAGGGTCCATGGAAGAGCTGGGTGAGGTCATGCTTGCATGCTTACAAGAGCATAACCTTGAACCTTGGGCAATGTGGAGTCTAAAGAGGTTCAAGGACAGTAAGTGGTAGATGAAGTAACCAGTCTTTGTCTTCTGATAGTCCTCATTCCATGGTTCTTTAACACTAGCAGAGCAGCCAGGGTGGCAAGCAGGGCATCTGATCTGAGCATGACTGAAGTTGGCCACACAGATGAGAAGGTTCTGGCAGTGTGGGGAAGGGAAATACAGCAGAAAGAACATAGGCACTCAACACAGATACATTGAAGACTTTTATTGAAATAAAGGACTTCAAATCACAATAGAGACCTGATATCTATCGTACAACTCTGCATAGGGAGCTTAAAAAGCTAAAGAAGACAAGGAAATGGGCAGACATTTGTGGAAATCACTGGGCAGCCCTAGATTTTTGCTGGCCAAAAAGCAAGTGTGTCTGGGGAGGCAAGCATAGAAACGCCACTGGTAAAGACCATGTCACATGATTTTCCCTGAATTTATGGAATCAGTGGTCTACAACCCAACTTGTTATCAAGATTGGGGGGAATCTGATGCTAAAAGTCGCAATATTTTTTAAAGATTTATTTATTTATTTGAGTGAGAGAGAGATAGAGAGAGGCAGGGCAGAGGGAAAGGGGAGAGAGAATCTCAAGCAGACTCCACAGTGAGCATGGACCCCCCAGTGTGGGGCTCAATCTCACGACCCTGAGGTCCTGACCCGAACCAAAATCAAGAGTCAGATGCTTAACTGACTGAGCCACCCAGGAGCTCCAAAAGCCATAGTATTATATGAAGTTAAGAAATCTAGGCAGAGTTAACCTTAATAAGTTTATGCCCAAAGTAGTTAACTCTTGAAGCAAACAGTCTACTTTATGACAAGGGGGAACTGTTCTCCATCTCCAGGGAAGACTGTACAAGGCATTGACTTCTTACCAGGGAAGGAAATAAATTAGCTCCAAAGGACAGTAGGAAAAAAAATCACTAACATCCATTTCTAGGGGGAGGGTTTAGATTCTTCTTTAGGGGTGGTCTTTACACAAGGAATGCATGCTCAGCTTTTCCCAATGTGTGGTGGCCTAAAGTCAGGATAAGGATTTAAGTCCTCCTAGCTCTGGATCTTTCCTAGGTATTATGTGTGCTTTGGTAGAAAAAGGAGGTCCAAGTAAAACACGGGACTTGCTTCTGCATTAAGTGGTTCTGTGCAGCCTAAAAGAGTCCTGTGAATCCCAAACTGAAGTAAGTCATCCCTTCCTTCTCACAGGTAACGCCAGGCTCCACTTAGAACTAAATCATTCAGTGTTGCTCTGGTGCCTTCCCTGATCTCCTCAGGATGGTTCTATTTCACCCAGGTTCTTGTTTTCTTTCGATCTCTCCTTTCTAGTCTCCCCACCACTTATTAGCCAAACCTGCGGTGTCGACACATACCATCAGATTTCATTTTGTGAAGTTGGAAGCTCCTTAGAAAAACAGATACAGTTTTAAAAATGTGTTGTTGGTTTTTTTTTAAGACTTATTTATTTGACAGAGAAAAAGCACAAGCAGGGGGAGCTTCAGAGGGAGAGGGAGAAGCAGGCTCCCTGCAGAGCAGGGAGCCAACACAGAGCTCGATCCCAGGACCCTGGGATCATGACTTGAGCCAAAGACAGACGCTTAACCATAAAAACGTGTTTTAAAACTATTTTCTCTCTATAACCCAGGCTGTTGGGTTTGAGAAATTAGCTCTCCTCTCTGGGGAGGAGACAGTTAATAACTTGAATGAATGCTACGTGGAAGGGATTTTTGAGTCATCACTCTAATTGGTCTGTGGCTCATTGTCCGGAAAATGGGAGAGAGACATTGGTTGTAAGAGCCATAAAATCACTTATATGTTCAACAGATATTTATTGGGCTTCTAGCATATACTTGGCACAACCTTGTTCTCTGGGGGTTCAAGGAACCAAGAATGAAGAGAAGAGAAAGAGGAGTGTTGCTGGGTGGCACTGAGTCCCAGGAAGGTCCCTGCCATCTCACAAATCCTAGTCTAAATATGGCTCAGGGGAGCAAAAGAGGGTGTGCAAAATGCATGTGGTGATGCTGGGGGAGCACATAGTCAGCACTTCCCTGAAGCCACATTCTGTGTTTCAGGTAAGAGCTGGAAAATTTATTGCTTCATCATATAGGGTGTTATTAGCATACCTGACTCCGATTTTCCAACTGTGAGATTTCTCTGACAGGAGCCGGAGGCCCAGGAAAAGCTTAGGCCCATGGGAAAGCTAGAGTTTGTTTCATTTTCCATCATGGAAGTGTTTATCCCGAGGCTTTTATCACTGAGTTAATATAATAATAGCAGAGTAATAGCTTCCTGTGTCCCAGGCCCATGCTAATTGCTTTGCATGCATTAAAGGCTGGTCATATTTTGTTCTAGGGGTGTGTTCCTGAAGACCTCTCATAATTTGTTACTTATGTTGTTTCTAGCTTGCATAATTGAGCATGGATTCTCTCAAAGGACAGTGTTTTTTTCTGTTCAGCAGCTGAAGCAGACCCACCATGAGGCAGGTGGTGGTTCACAGTTTACCAGCTTTACCACTGTGCAATCCTTGACTCTTTTTTAATTTGGAGAATTTTCGTGATTTCAGGGTTTGCACACGAAATATCATTAGTGACATTTATATGTGACCAGTTTCCCATTTGCCTCACTCAGAGTCCCACTGAATGTGACTAGATTGTAGCACCCTCAGTCCCCACCACAGTAGTGTTACTGTCGCCATCTTACAGACGTGGACATAGGTTCAGAGAGGGTCAGCACTTGCCCCAAGATGCACAGCCTGAAGTAGCCCCCAAGGCCCTTGCACCCTAATGGGTCTGACTCCATGCCCTCAGCTCTTCACGCTGAGGAATTCAGAGAGACTAAATGATGGGGCCCAGCTTACCCAGCTGGCTGTTGGAACTTGAACCTGGGTCTTTCCTCTTTTTATCTAGAGCTCTCTTTATTCGTTCATTTCCTCATTCATTCCAATGATAGTTATTCATTTACTTTTTACCAAACTCAGGGGCTTGAAACCACACAAATTTATTCTCTTGTAATTCTGGAGGTCAAAAGTCTATACCTGTGGTGCTAGTGGGGCAACATTCTTTCCTCAGGCTTCAGGACAGAATTGTTTCCTTAGTTTTCCCAGATTCTAGCAGTCCTTGGATTGTGGTTTTTAACTCCCATCTTCAAACTCTGTCACTCCAGACTCTGGTTGCATTGTCATATTCCCTTTTCTGAGTTTGACCCTCCTCCCCCTCTCACAAGGATCCTATGATTCCGTGGGGCCCATCCAGGATAATCTCCCCATTTCAACATCCTTCATTTAATCACATCTGCAGAGTCCCTCATGCCATGTCAGGTGCCATATTCGCAGGCTTTAGGGGTTGGGATGTGGACATCTCTGGCGGGGAGAAGGGCAGGGCAGGCATTGTCTGTCTGTCACACTCACGTAGCATTAGCCCAGCAGGCTGGCAGTTCCTAGCAGACACCAGGCTAAGTGCTGGAGATGCAAAGGTGCCTGCCTCACAGAGGCCTTTTCCTGGAAAGCTCAATTTATAAAATGCTGAGGAGTGGCGAGGGAAGGCAAATAATCAAATACGCACTAATGTGATAGGGGCCAAAATAGCAGTTTGCATGGATGGGTTCTGGGAACACAGAGGAAGATGCCACCAAACCTAGCACCCTGCTCTTCCTGGAGGCTCTGCCTCCTGACCAGGACTTACATTTAATAATCCATTTTGCTTTTTTTTTTTTTTTTCTTTTCTTAGTCTCTGTTGTCTCTTGATATGGACCCAGGAATCATGAGTTTCTTCCTGAGTCCTACAGCCTGTCTTTCTCAGAACATCTTCTATCCCTAGTATTTTAATACAACATCTGACTGTTAGGACACATATGCTTAGCGTTTTACACAAAGTGGATCCCATTTGTTCCTATCAGCAGTCTCTAATGTAGACATTACCATCCTCATTTCTAAGGGTGAGTCTCAAAGAAGGCTGTTCCAGTTCTGGCAAATGCTCAGTGGTAAAGCTGGAGATAAATCATAGACTTTCCTAAATGAGATACATGGAGGAAAATTGAGAAGTTACCTGTGGGGCACTTTGATGGTGGGGTGGGGAGTGAGCACAGACTAAACTCCCCGGCTCACAGAGTCCCTGTCTCAAAAAACAGAAATGAAAAATGAGTGAAAGTAAATGGAGCTAAATTAATAAGCCATGTAATGTTCACGCCTGTCATTTCTCCTGTGGGAAAGGGGTAAGGGAAATAGCGTCTTTATGTGTACATAGGGAAGGGGCTACACCTGGGACCTAGGATTGTGAAGCGACCTGAACAAGCAGGAACATCTGCAGCTTTTCCTCGGCTTTCTTTCTTTCTCCTGCTCATTCCTGTCAG